TTTCATGGTTCTCATTTAGATCTAGGATTCATTTTGAGTTAAGTTTTGTATAAGATATGAGGGGTTTTTCTTGTAAAAAATCAATTGGCCATATTTGTACGGGTCTGTCTCTTGACTATTTTATTTCATTGATCTTTATCTCTTCACCAGTAGCACACTGCTCATTATAGCTTATAGTAATTCTTAAATTACCTCCAATTTTATTTTATTGTCTCAAAATTGTTTCAGCTATTCTTGTTCCTTTGCCTTTCCATATAAATTTTAGAATCAGCTTTAAAAATTTACAAAATCCGGGGCCGGTTCCGTGGCCGAGTGATTAAGTTCATGCGCTCTGCTGCGGTGGCCCAGGGTTCGGATCCTGGGTGTGCACGTGGCACTGCTTGTCAGCCCACGTTGAGACGGCGTCCCACATCCCACAACTAGAAGGACCTGCAACCAAGATATACAACTGTGTACAGGGGCGTTTGGGGAGATAAAGCGGGAAAAAAAATTTTACAAAATCCTATTGGGATTTGATTAAAATTACATTAAATCTATAGATCACTTTGAGGGAATTGACACCTTTATTATGTTAAATCTTCTAATCCACCAACACAGTATGTCTCTCCATTTATTTTGTGCCACATTGACTTCTTTCATCAGTTTTGTGTAATTTTCAGCATACAGGTTTTATAAATTTTTTTTGTACTTCTACCTAAGCATTTCATTATTTTGCAGTTATTTATGTTTTTAAAAATTACTTTTAGTTTTCAGTTGTTCATTTTTAGCATATAGAGAATAGATCAATTTTTGTGTATTGATTATATGTCCTGTGACCTCGTAAAACTCATTCATTAGTTCCTGGTTTTTTATTTTTTGGTGTTTTTGGTAGATTACTCTGGATTTTCTACACAGACAATTTCATCTCTTGCAAATAGGGACAATTTTACTTTTCCTTCCCCAATCTTTATGATGTTTGATAGGGGTGGTGAAAGTGTATATTTTTGTTTTGCTCCTCATATATGGAGGAACGCATTCAGCTTTTTACAAACAGGTATGAAGTTAGTAAGAGTTTTTTTTTTTTTGGTAGATGCTCTTTAACAAATTAAGGAAGTTATCTTCTATTCCTAGGTTGCTGAACTTTTTTTTAAATTATGAAATGATGTTGAATTTTATCAAAAAATATTTTGGTATCTATTGATTTCTCTTCCTTAGACAGTTAATATGGTAGATAAATTGATTGGTCATGATGTCTAATGATTATTATCCTTTTTATATATTGTCACATAGTATTTGCCGATATTTTGTAGAGGATTTTGTGTTGATGTGCTGGCATGATACTTGTGTGAACTTTCTTTTAGTTTCTTGTCTTTTTGTCTAGGTTTAGTATTAGAGGAATGCTGGCTTCATAAACAGATTTGAGAAGTGTTCTCTGCTCTTTTATTTTCAGGAAGAGACTGTAGAATTGAGGCTATTTCTTCTTCAAACATACCAGTGAAACTGAGCCAGGAGATTTTTTTGAAGTTTTCCTCAATTAAAAAAAATTCAATTTTTTAATAGTTATAAGACTACTCAGAATATTGATTTCATCTTGCATGAGTTTATGGTTTTTGAGGTATTGGTTCATTTCATATAAGTTATTGGATTTATATGCAATTAATTGTCCAGAGTATTCCCTTTTAATAGCTGTAGGGTCTGTACTGATATCCTCTGTTTCATTCCTGATGAATTTGTCTTCTCTTTTCTTCTTTTTCAGTCTTGCTAGAGCTTCATTGATTTTATTAACCTTTTTAAAGGTTAATAAAAACCAATCTTTTTTTCTCTTCAATTTCTGCTCTTATCTTTGTAATATCCTTCTTATGCTTGCTTTTGAGTGTTTTTTCTGAATTTCTTAATGTAAAGGTTTAGATTACTGATTTGAGACCTTTATTCTTTCTAAGCTAAGTGTTTAATGCTATAAATCTCTCTCAATAGATGCCTTTAGAGGCAGTTCTAAAATTTTGATATGTTGGATTTTAATTTCTTTCAGTACAGTATATTTTTTTAACTTTCTTTGAGGTTTCCTCTTTGATCTGTGGATTATTACTAGTGTGTTTTTAAATTTCTAAGTGTTTGGAAATTTTCCTGTTTTCTTTATGTTATCAATTTCTAATTCAATTCTGTTAATCTCAGAGAATGTATTTTGTAGGATCTCAAATTTTAAAAAATTTTGTTAGGTTTTACTTTGTAACCCAGGAGATAGTCTATCCTGGTGATTGTTCCATGTACGTTTGAAAAGAATATGTCCTCTGCTGTTATTGGGTGAAGTGGTTCTGTAAATGTGAATTAAAGCCACTT